AGGACGGGAGAGGACCCCGTGAGCTCTCCAGGGTTGCAGGAATTCCTCATGGTCATGGGAAGGTGAAGGAGGCCTGGCTGGGAGGCCACCACCCTCCTCCCTCCAGCCTCCTCCTAGCCAGCCTCCCTGCCCCCACCCCAGTGCTGGAGGCAGGATGCTGGCCTTCACAGCGTACGTAGGGCTGCCCCTTCTCAGGCCCTCATTGCCTCCTCTCTCTCCTCCAGTGGGAGGCAGGAGAGACAGGGTCAGGGAGCCTCCAGGGCCCCTTGACCCACAGAGGCAGCCCCTGAGCCAGCAGCCAAAGCCAGAAGTGGATGGGGCAAGGCCTAGGGCAGCCAGCTTGGCCCCAGCCCCGTCGACTCAGTGCGCTGGCCAGGGAGTGCTGGGGCAGCTGATCTGGTCCAGATGCCAGCTGGGCCAGGGGTGAGGTGATCAGAGGGCAGCCTGCCTGAGAAGGAGCCGCTGGCAGGCCTGGCACCCCGCACACGGCCTACCCCCTTTACCCTCCCAGGACCCTAGGGGCCCATCCACGTCCCCTCAGCTCAGACGAGGAAGCTGAGGCCCTGTGAGGAAGGGCTGCTCCCGGATCCCCCAGGGGGCTCCTGCTCCATCTTGCTGGCTGGAGTCCTGGGGCTGTCCTCTCTAGGACCCCGTGTTCCTGTCTATCTAGTGGGGGCTGGGCGAGGCCACCTCCAAGGGCACATCTGGAACCCAGGGTTCTGGTTGCCATTAGAGCCTCGGTGAGCGTGCTGATGCAAGCGTGGAGGTCAGACTGGCGTGCCATGGGTGCGAGGGGTGTGTGGGGGGTCGCCGCGTGGGGGGCCCAACTCTTCTGTAGAGCTGGACGGGCCTCAGCCCCAAGACCAGAACCTCCAGGTCCAGTTCCCTTTGGGGCCTTGTCTCCCCTCTTCTGCCCCATGGTCCTACTTACCCATGGGTCCGTTGCTCCGCCCCTCCCAGGCCCTCCTCCCCCCAGCCTGGGATCCAGTTGCTCCAGAGGGCACAACCAGATGGTGACTTTCCATTGGCCCCTGAGCTCAGGGCCACATGTCCCAGGCTCCGTGTGCCCGGGCCAGCTCCATCCTCAGCACCCCAGCCTGCCAGCCCTCCCCCTCCCTCCCTCCCTGCCTCCCTGGGGAGTTTGTGGCCCGGACACTGCCCAGGGCAGAGACCTGGGAGTCTGCCCAGAGGCCTTACCTCATCTATTTTTAAGCACAAGCCCATGAAAGATTCACAGGCTGCTTTATTTACAGGTGGCGGAGGGCCTGGGCCATGGAGAGGTCTGAAGCCCTGTAGGCCTGGGAGGCGCCGCCCCGAGGAGTGCGCCTCTCCCCCACCCCCACCTGCCAGGCTCCCTGAGCTTCCTCCCTTCCTCCCATCCAGCCTGACGCCTGTGTTCTGGGAGTCTTCTCCCCAGGTGGTGGGCCCCCTGGAGATGCCCCCCTCCTCCCTAGAGGGAGCAGGGGTCATAGGAAGCTCCCCCCACCACGCCCGTGCCCAGCTGTACAGTCGGCGGCTCCCTGGCCCGCACCCTGATCTCGCAGAATTGCCCAGAAGCCCTTCCTGAGCTGTCACCGTGCTCCTGTCTCACTTCCTCCCCGGCAGTTTCCACGAGAGAGGAACCTACCTCCACAAGCCGAAGGCGAAGTCGGGAGAGGCCCTTGCCGGGCCAGCCTGGGCCATGGCCCAGTTCATCCCAGCCTGGCTGGGTGAGTTAGCGTCCCCGTTTTACAGACTAGGAAGCTGAGGCAACTGCACTATGAAGCCACATCTTGGAACATCAGAGGCTGGGTGCCCCAGCCCTGCCCCAGGTGCCACGTGACAGGGAGGGTCACTCAGTGCTCACTTTATCTCAGCTTCAGGCAGGGACAGCCCTGGCCCTTCCCTTCAGACACGCCACCCAAGTGGAGAGAAACCTGGAGAACACAGGGCCCCACCCGGGCGCTGGCAGGAGGAGGCCCTGGGTGCATGGGCAGGTGGGCTGGTCAGCCTCCAGCAGCTCTGCCCATGGGAGCCAGCTGGTTTCCCATGGCCCAGCACCCGGCACCTGGCATCCAGTGATGGTCCCTCTCCTAGGCTGTGAGCTCCTATGGGCCTCGGGAGGTGGGACGGCTCAGCTTCATTTGTGTCTGCTGGCGTCTGGATGAGCCCAGGAGGGCCCAGCAGGGCTCTCGGCTCTTACCCGGCAGGGACTGGGGCCAACATAGTCCGGAGCTCCCCAGCACGCTCCCAGGTCATCGTAGGGACCTCAGGCCCCTGGCAGGGTCAGACAGGACACTGTGCATCCCTGCCCATCGGACCAAGGCTTCCCCATTCTGGGGTGGAATCTGAGTGGGGCCATGCCCATCCCTACTTAGCTGAGAATCACTGATTTAAGAGAAAATCTCTCTCCACCAACCCAGAAGATTCTCCCGGGCTTCACTTTCTAGAGACAAAAAGGGTTTTGTTAGCTTTCCAAATAGGACTGGGCGGTACTGAGTATTTCTTTCAGACCAGACCACACCCGGGGAGTTGACGCCCCCTGCCAGGGGCATGTCCCCAGCCCCCAACCGCCCCATCCCATCAGGGAAAGAATGTTTTCTTTTCTTTCAACATTTCCCCAGGAGGAAACTGGGGAAGAAGGTGAGATTGGGTAACAGACTTTCTGTCTGTATGAAGACACCGCAGTGATCCCAGAACTGCTGCCCCTGGGAGCCAGAGGACAGGGCAGGCCCCGGCCACTGGCCACCTCGGGCAGCAGGTGTGGACACAGTGACCAGGCTCGCCCTGTCACTCCAGCAGGGCGACCCTCGGACTCTCGCCTCTGGGAGGTTCCACCTATAAAGTGGGGGTACACTTGCTGGGGAGTACATACCCACCGTGAGCCAGGCATGGGTCTCAGCGCTGGTCGTGCCCCTGTGAGCAGGACAGACCCGCCGGGTCAGGGGGGCTCAGCACAGGCCTACAATCGCATCACCCGAGTCGTAGGAAGTGCTGGGAGTAGGGGCAGGGTGAGGCGGGGCAGGGCGGGGGAGCTAGAGCTGGAGGGGTCCCCTTGGATAGGGCGCTGCTCAGGGACCAGAAGGATATCCCCTCGGATACCACGGCCCCTTCAGCCCCGCGTAGCTGGTGAGACCCGCATTCCGTGCACCCTGTCGGGACCCCTGAGGACTACATCCGCAGGCATTGCTAGCAGCCGCAGGGAAGCCCGCTGCGACCCAGCCCCCTCCCGACTGCGGCTGCAGCCCTGTGTGGTGGCCACCCACGCCCACCGACCCATGGGCTCTCCGGTCTTGCTGCCGTCTGCCCAGGGGCCCAGGGATCTGACAGCCTCCCTGGAGGGCTCCCAGCTTTCCCTGGAGGGGCAGCATGAGACTGTCGCAAGAATGGAAAGAGACCAGAGCTGTACTGATGGTGTGACCCAAAGATGTGTCCCCACAGATGCACGGAGACGGAGCCAGGAGGCTCTCCATTGGTCCCACGGAGAAACACCATGCATGGAACTCAGGTGAAGCAATCCTCCCATGGGGACACGTCAGGAACGTCGTGAACAGCCTCTACACCCACTCCGGGAGCCCACCTGCCCAAGACCAAGAGGTCTCCTTGAGCCCAGGAGCGAAGCGTTTGTATCTGGGGGTGCACAGATCCGCTCTGAGACAGCAGCTCGTTTCCCACGGCCCTGTCCCTGTGCTTTAACAAAACCACCATTTTGCACCGAAAAAAGAAAATAAAAACAGAAAAGAAAACAGATTGGGGCGCCTGGGTGGCTCAGTTGTTTAAGCGACTGCCTTCGACTGGGGTCATGATCTTGGGGTCCAGGGATGGAGCCCCACATCGGGCTCCTGGCTCAGCAGGGAGCCTGCTTTTCCTCTCCTGCTGCTCTGTCTGCTTGTGTCTCTCGCTCTGTCAAATAAATGAATAAAATCTTAAAGAAAGAAAGAAAGAAAGAAAGAGGAAGGAAGGAAGAAAGAAAAGAGAAAAAAGAAAAGAAAAGACAAGAAAAAAGAAAAGAAAAGAAAAGAAAACCAGGCAGTTTCAGGGCTGTCAGGAGAGCATGTCAGTAACAGGCTGCTTCAGCACCTGAAAACCCCAGAGACGCACGGATACTTCCGGACAGGCCGGGCCTCCACGGGCATTCTGGAAATCGCAGCAGACCCAGGACCTCAGCCAGCCAGAAGAGGCCAGGTGCCACCTCAGTCTGCTCTCTGGGACCCCGAGGCTGCCCCTGCAGCTGTGACCCGGACACCCAGCCATGGCCCTCCTTCCACCCGGGGCCAGCTGACGTTGGAGCTCAGGTGTGAGCACAATGGCTGGATCTGCTCCTGGCCATGGTGACACACTGTCCTGGCACCCAAAGCGGGCACCCCCAGCCGCGCCCAGAAACCCGCCCCATTCCTGCTGCCTCCACCCGGACTGTGTGTGCCCATCAGGCCCGCAGAGTGAGGTACCGCAGAGTGAGGTACCCCAGGGCCAGCCCCCTCTCCCTGAAGTTGCCCCAGGGGACCGGAAGGAGCAGGTGGCCAGGTGGCAGTCCCTCCGGGCGTGGTTCAGGGGCTCCTTTGCGTGGCGACCGGGCTGCCAAGGAGGTCGCGTCCTTGGGTAACTTTGGAGCTATGCTTTGGGATAAGGGGCCGCGGGGATGCGCGGAACACAAGGGGGCTAGGGGGCGGGGAGGCCCCGAGCGCGGGGGAGCGGCGCCAGAGCCCCGGGTGACTGGCCGCGTGGCGGCCAGGCTGGGACCGGGATCGCGCCTCCAGGAGCTAGGTGACCCTGCGGCAGGGACAGGGGGAGTGTCGCGGGGCGGGGCGGGGGCGGGGCGGGGCGGCGCCCCGGATCGCCAGGCGGCGGGGCAGTCGCGGGGCGGGGCGGGCCGCGCCTCACCTAGCAGCTTCCTGGGCGCGCTCGCTCCCCTCTCCGCCCCGGGCCGCCCCGCCCCTCCGCCGTCGCAATAAGGGGCACAGGCGCGCGGGAGGAGGCCAGCCGTCGCCAGCCCGCCGGTCGTCTTCGCGCCGGTTGGAGCTTAGCGCTGCAGCCGAGGCCCGCGCCGTCGGGGCTCCCGGGACGCCGCCGCCGGGGCGCGGTCCGGACGTGGCGGGGCCATGGAGCTCTGGCCGTGGCTGACCGCGGCGCTGCTGCTGCTGCTGCTGCTCGTGCAGCTAAGCCGCTCGGCCAGGTTCTACGCCAAGATCACCCTGTACTGCGCGCTCTGCGTCTCGGCCTCCATGGTGGCCGCGGTCGTCTGCCTGCTGCGCCACCACGGCCGGACAGTGGAGAACATGAGGCAAGGGGACCTGGGCTGGGGGTGGGAGGACAGCGCCGGGGCGGGGCGGGGCGCGGGGGACACGGGGACCGCGCCGGCGGGGGGACGGCGCCTGGGCGGGGCGGGGCGCCGGGGACACGGGGACCGCGCCGGCGGGGGGAACAGCGCCGGGGCGGGGCGGGGCGCAGAGCGAGGCCGCAGCCCGTTTCCGCTTTCCTAACTTTCTACTCTCCCGTCCCTCCTTCCTGCCCCGCCTGGGGATCTCGGGGCTCCCGGGCGGCGCGGCGCGCGGCGGGCGGCGGGCACGGGTCCGCGAGAGCCCACGTCACAATGTCTCCGCGCCCCGGTCCCGCGCGGACACCGAGGGATTTCAGATGGCCTCGGTCTCCAGCGTCGCCGCGTCCTTCCGATCCTCCAAGGGCCCCGCGGGACGCTCAGGGCGTTCTGGGCGCCGGGCGGCGGGTGGCTGAGCGGCCCTGGGCGGGGAAGGACGCTGGGCCAGCGGGGAGGCGCCGTCCCGCTCCACCAGCCGGGAAAGAGCAGGTGGGACCGCGGGGCTTGCAGGGGGGTGGGGGGGGGGGGCTTTGCTGGAGCACCGCCCCCGCCTGGAGGAGGCGCACGGGCGGGGGGATCCCGGATTCCGGATCCCTGATCCCTGTCCTCTCTGCACCGCACCCCCCACCCCCCTCTGGCCTGGGTGATGAATGCACCTGAGATGGGTCCCGGGATGGGACTCTCTTTGCTTCCTGGCCTGTCCGCCTAAGGAGGTGGGAGGCTCCTGGAGGGGAAGGGTGGGTTTGACCCCTGAGGTCCAGCCTCAGGGTGGAAGGAAGGGAGGGGTGGCTGGAATTTTTCTGTGGACACCTCTGAACTGGGCAGTACGGTGGTGTGGGCTGGTGGGCATGGGGTAAGGAGGTCAGCCCAGCTGAAGAGTGGTGGGCCTCACTGGGTCAGAGGCTAAGGGGTGGGGGCTTCTTCCTGCCCTGTCTCCCTGTGTCTGATCCCAGGAGGGCTGTTGCTAACGTTTCTCTCTGTGGCTTTTGCAATGGCTTCTTGGCTGTGGCCTGCCGTGAGGATACTGTGGTCCCTGCCCCCCGCCCCCATGTGGTTACAGGGCAGTGGGCGAGGGTTGCTGACTTGTCCATCCAGGTGGGCCCATGCTGCCGGGACTGGCCCACACTGCATGGCCCTCCAGGCCCTGTCCTTAGGGATTTGTGCCTTCATGCCATACCCAGAGCAGAGCATGCTCCGTGGGTCTCTGGTGGCCCCGCCTGCCACCAGCAGAGCCCAGATCACCATCCCAGGGAGTGCGGACCCCAGGGACAGCCCTCTGGTGGCCCTTCTGGCATTTTCCCATGTGAAGACCTGTTCCAGGGGCTTCCTCAAAGCTGGGCCCGCACCACTTGAGGGCAGGGAAGCCGGAGGCTGTGCACCTCTCCGAAGGCGGGCCTGAGGTTAGGGTCCTGGAGTCCTGGAGCCCCTGTGGGCAGCAGGAGCCTCCCCTCAGCCTTGCTGAGGGCTGGCCTCCGAGCCAGAGGAGGGCATTGGGTTCAGGGAGCCACAGGCTGGTGGGCTACTTGGAGGCAGTGCTGTCCCCCCACCCCCGGAGCCAGGCCAGGGGATGGCATGTGTGGTTCTGAGGTGGCAGGAGGGGGCGCAGGAGGCTGGCGGAGAGCTGGCCCCAGAGCAGTCTGCAGCAGAAGGGAGGGAACCAGGAGTTGACGGTCCTCGTCCCTCTCCGCCACAGGTATCATCAGGAAGCGTCTGTACCAGCAGCTTCCTCGCCTGTTAAAGGGACTGACTCACACTTCAAAGCTGCTTGCCGGGGTCAAGTCAGAAGTCACCAGTCTGCTTTCTGATTTGGGGGCTAGTCACACTCGGCCTTCCCTTGGCCTGTTGGGGCTTGAGATTCTGGGCAGCTAGGCTGAACCCCTGGGGACCCTGGAGGCTGGGCCAGTACCGGGTGGGGGCTTCCTGCTGCTCTCCCCTCTCCAGGGCAGCCCCCGGACTCAGGCTCTGTGAAGGGGCCACCCCAGGACGCTGGTAGGGTAAGAGGAGGTGCTCTGCTCGCCCCAGGGAGAGGCCACAGTCTCCTGTCCCAGACACCCCAGCCCCCGAGGGTGGGTCATGGTGATGGTGCTGAAGACCCCCTAGCCAGAGCTGAACTGGGGGTATGGGCGGGGCCTGCTGGGAACAAAGATCCCCCCGGAGGGGTACGGCCTGGGGAGACAGATTGGGGGGCTGCTGCATGGCTCCGGGATCCAGGACAGGACCCAGGAGCATGGAGGTGAGGGGCAGGGATGCGCCCCGTCCTCACCCATCAGTTTTTCCTGGACCCCTGGGCGCCCTGGGCATCTGGCTGCCCTTCTCTCCAGCCCTGCTCTGACTTCTGGAAACTGTCCACCTCACTGGACACTGCAGCGTCCGCTCCCATCTCTGGCGGCTAGTGGAGGTGCCCCCTGTGGGACAGGCAGGGCTCCGTGCCTCGTTCCTCTGACGGTCTGAGGCGCTCCCTGAAGCCAAGGCCTTGGGAGGCCCAAGGGCGGGTGGGAGGAGGCCGTTGCCTGGGCTCCCAGAGCTAAGACGGGGCAGAGCTGGGGTGCAGACCCCCCACAAGGGCCACCAGAGTGCATGTTTTCTGTGTTCCCTCTATGCCCACCGGCACTAGGGGCGGCGGCAGTGCTGAGAACTGGAGACCCAAGCTGTGGGTGCCCGGAGCTGGGGCGGGGGGAGAAACCCTGCCCTGCCCGCTCCCTGCTTTCCTGCCTTCCCCCGGAGCAGCAGCGGCCCCTCCCCACAGGGCTCCAGGCCGCAACCTAAGGAGGCCTTTGCCTGTTAGACTCCAGTTCCGAGTGTGCAGGGAACAGTGATGGGAACAGAAGAGCCAAGGAGCCTCTGACCCCCTGGGGCCCAAGACCCCAGGATCCCTCCCAGGCTGGTTGTGCACGGTGGAGTCCTAGGCCCTGTTCGCTCGTCCCAGGAGGCAGATGCCCTGGGAGATGAGAGTGAGGCCCAGCTGTGTGATGGGAACACAGTTTGCAGGATCGGGAAACCCTAGTGACGGCGGCCTCACCAAGAGACCACTTTTTCCTTGCATCGAAGGAGACCAGAGCTGGGCGGCCCATGTCCTGCAGACGAGTTCCAGCCTCCATGCTGTGGCTCTACCACGATGGGGGTACAGTGTGCATACACGACCTTGGCAGGGCCTCTGAGGGCTGGAGCACATGCTTCCGAGTCCATCTGAATGGCCAGGTCCTGGGTGGCGCGGCTCTTGGCTTCATGGGAGGTGGGGCCACGAGGCACTCGGTCTGCTGCCTGCTGAACCTCGAGGAAGGGAGAACGGGGTTGCTTGGGCCAGAGACCTGGGGCTTACTGATGCCCATTAGGATTTGAACCCAGGACAGCCCAGCCTCTTAGCCAGCGCTCCCAGCCACTGTGTGGTCCCAGGGGGCGCACAGGTGGGGATGGAGTGCATTCGGGGGCCCCGTGGCACGTGGGGGCTGGCAGGGAATCCTGGTTTTGCAGGAAAGTCTGGCTTTGTTTTTCTTGGAGTAGGATGGCCAGGGGCGGACTCCCTCCCTGGGACGTGCGGCTGCAGGCCCAGCTCCCTGGAGCCCCGGAGATCCTGGGTCAGGACCAGGGGCTCGCGGGGGGGCACCAGCTCCCAGCCCCCTGCTCTTCACCCCATTCCCCACAACCCCTCCTGCGACGGACCTCCGGGCTTCTGGGCAGGCCGGAAGCCCCGCCCCACCCCGCCCCGCCCCGGCTCCCAGTCCCTCCCACTCTCCTTCTCTCCCTCTCTGGGCTCCCGCTTCAAAGACACTTGTTGGAAAACATTCCTGCTCTTGCCAGATGGTCACTCTGGGGCCTCCTGTCCCCGAGCAGATCGCTGGCTCTCTGTGGCCTTTCTGACAGCGCTGCCTCAGGTGGGCCCCACCCAGACCCCTCACTCCCTGGGGCAAACCCAGCGGGGTCTAGCTGAGGACTCTAGCCGCCCAGATCTCCTGGGAGCAACCTAGTCCCCGGCTAGGGGCTGAGGGCAAGGTCCACAGGTGGCCAGGGCCTGGCCTTGAACTCCTTCCAGCCGGGGCACATGCTGGTGGGGGGAGGGGCCGGGTGGGGGCTCTGTGGCTGCCCTCTTTGGATTCTTCTTATCTGCTTGTGACGTCACCAGTCACAGTTGTCACCAGTCACAGTTGTCGTTGTTCCCGGGGTCGCAGCCTCTTGGGCACAATCTCCACGCCCTTCCCCTTTCATCAGCAGGAGTGAAAGCTTCCAGGGGTGGGGTCAAGGGCAGTGCCCAAGGTCATGGCTAGAGAGCGGGGAGCCAGGATCTGATCTGTCTCACCCAGAGCTTGGGAAGGCCCCCGGGGGCGGGGGGGTTTCCTCAGGCTGAACACAGAAGGTCCAAGGATGCTGGCTGGACTCCTGTGGGCGCTGGAAAGATCTGTGGTGTTTCAAGCGCTTGGGCGTTCGGGGCAGTTCCTGTCTGGGGTTAAGTCGAGGGCTCCGTGAGAAAGATCGGGAAGGGCCAGGACATCCCATATCTGCTGGAGGAACAGCCCTGCTCCCGGGGCCTTGAGGTGGAAAGGTGGCATCAGTCATCCCACCAACTGCTGGTGGGTGCTTCTGGAGTGCTGCACCAGGCACCCAAGGCATCCCAGGCCTCCTGGGCTTCGGGTAGCCTTGGCTACACTCCTGCCCACCTCCCCTGGGGGTCTGGGGGCTAGGGAGGGAGGGCAGCAGCCAGAGGTGTATGCGCATGTCCCAGGGCCAGTGCCAGGGACACCTGCTTCAAGCTTTGGGATCCTGACTCCCGAGGGGCAGCTCCTGAGCCCTGCGGCTGGTGGAGGGGCACTCGGGTTAGGTGGGCTTTTGGCGCAGTGGGGCTTGTGCTCAGGACGGGGTGCTGCTGTAGGCCGGCCAAGGGCACGGCCACCTCCTCCAGTCCTTCGGGCGTTGGGTGGCATCCACAGAGCCTCGGGGAAGGGATACAGACAGGTTTGCTTTTGCAATCCTGGAATGCCATCTCCCAATCCTGGGTCTTCACCCCACCCCACCTCCAGGGTGCCCTTTGCCTGGCAGTTTTCATGTGTTTTCCAAAAACCAGGTAAGGAGGTGGTTCCGGCCCATCCTGGGTTCCCTGCTGCGTGACCTTGGGCAAGTCACTTCCACTTAGCCCAGACCACCTCTGAGTGTCCCACCCCGTGGGTTCGCTACCTAAGCCAAACGGGAGGCTTCCTGCCACGCCCTGGCCCAAGGCAGGTGCTGTGCGCGCCTGGACGGTGGGCCTGGGTGGTGCGCTGTGCGCTCTGCTCTCCCGGGTAGGGACCCCTCCCTGGCTTTCTCTCCCTGGAGCTGCTGCAGAGCCTGGCTGGCCGCCTTCTGCACTGAGAAAACTGTGAAAACAATAGACGTCGTCACCACTTTCACAAAAAACCTTGATACTGTGTGGCATCGGGAAGAGGACAGGTGGACAGGCATCCACGTGCGACCGGCGCCTGTCCTGTGGCCCGTCCACTGCCCGTTGCCACAGCAGCAGGTGCACACGCTTGTCCCCCTGGAGGCCGCTAGCCGAGGTCTGTGAACAGCATCTCCCACAGTTCCAGAAACCCCATCTGTGGTCAGTCCCTACATTACGTGCACCAAGAAGTGCAAGCAGGAGGAGGGAAGAGTCCCGGACACAGAGGGTGGGGACCGTCGCACAGCACCGAGGGGGCATTTCATGCTACTGAACCGGATGTTTAAAAATGATTAAAATGATGGGGGCACCTGGGCGGCTCGGTCGGTGAAGTGTAAAGCGTCTGCCTCGGGCTCAGGTCGTGATCCTGGGGTCCTGGGATCGAGCCCCACGTCCGGCTCTCTGCTCAGCAGGGACCTCTCATGCTCTCTCTGCCTCTCTCTCAAATAAAATGTTTTAAAAATGATTAAAATGATAAACTTTATGTGACCTGTATTTTGCCACAATTTTGAAAGAGGAAGAGAGAAGCCTGCAGACGCCTCCAGCAGAGAGAACGCGGTTCGCGTGCGGATGTGGCCGGGGTTCTCCGCGGCCGGCGGGGGGCGCTCGCTGCCAGCACCTGCAGCACGTGCGTCCGGGTCTCCCCGTGGCTGACCGGGTCGGATCCGATCCCCACCTCGCCTCTCCTTAGCAGGGGACGTTCGCATGGTCTCGGACTTTTCTTTTTTTTTTTGAAAGATTTTATTTCTGAGTAATCCCTGTACCCCACGTGGGGCTCAAACTCAAAACCCTGAGATCAAGAGTGGCAGACGGCGGCCCTCCCGGTCTTCGAACCAGACCACACTTGAGGGCTGCAGGCCTGCCTCTTGCAGCTCACTGCCTTCCGGTCAGACCCTGGGAGAGGCACCAGATTTCTTTTCTTCTTTCTTCCTTTCCTTCCCTTCCCTTTCCCCTTTTCCTTTTTTTTTTTTTTTTTTCTTTGTTTCTTTCTTTCTTGATGTATTTATTTGAGAGAGCACGCACAAGCCCGGGAGGGACGGAGGGAGACGCAGACTCCCCACCGAGCCTGAAGTTTGGGCTCAATCCCATGACCCTGAGATCATGACCCTGAGGCAAACCAAGAGTGGACGTTTGACCGGCTCCGCCCCCACCCCCGGGCGCTGCAAGACCAGATTCCACGCGGCTTTGCCCAGGTGCTACTGGCCTGTCCGCCCCAAGCAGCCCTGTGAGCGGCTGCGGGGCCGTCCCGACATCCCGGCCAACCCCTCGTGGAGTTACTGGCCTTTTCTTCGGTCCGGGCCAACCTGAAGAATGAAAACGGGGCCCCCGTTTCAATGTGCGTCGCTTTGACTTTTAGTGAGAGGGAAGATTTTCCATGTTTCTTGGACCTTTCTCTTTCCCCTGGGTGAAGTGCCCGCCGTGTCCTCTCCGTGTCCCCTCGGTCGTCCTAGTGGTTGAGAAGTGGTCTCTGTAGATCAGAAATGGTGCCCGCGGACATGAAGCAGCTGGTCAGCCGCTCAGCCTGTGTCCAGGGCCGGCTGGGACTCAGGTTTCTGAGCGGGAGGGGACAAGGGGGTACGTCTGGCCTGAGCCAGCCAAGACTGTCAGGTCCAGGGAGAAGGATGGCCGGTCTGATCGTGCAGACAGCTGGGGCTTTGTGGCCGCACCTCCCTGAGCCTCAGTGTCCCCATCTGCAGCATGGGATGGTGGGAGAGCGGCCCTCCCATGGGATTCTGTTCTGCGAAAGGGCAGTTGAGTGAGAGCCTGACTTTCAGACCCAGAGGGCAGGTCCCCAGGCATCCACTCCCAGAAAGCCCGAGAGGAGAGGAGACGGATCCACAGACGCTGGGGGCAGGGCCGGGGGAAGGGGGTCTGTGTGCAACAGGATGGAGTCCAGTCTGGGAAGGGCGCGTTCTGCAGGGAGGGAGGGACAGACGGCTCGGTGGGAGCGCATTGACGTCCCCGAGCTGTGCCCAAAACAGCAGTTCGGAGGGTGCGTTTTAGGGCTCTCCTCTCTCGAGGACTGTCCCCGGGCCTTGGGCAGCTCGTTACTCATCCCTGTGTGTAAAATGGGAAATCGCTCCCTCGCAGTGGGCGCTGTTGAGGGGCTCAGATGCCTGGGGGGCTGTGGGGGCTGCCTGAGCCTTCTGTGAGCAGTGCAAGGGTCCTGGGTCAGTGGTGGGTCAGCCCCCACCGGGGATGGGAAGGTCCGGGCCCTGCAGGGAGTCACAGGATGCTGAGCCTTGCCCCGCAGGCTGACCCCTACCAGAGGCCGTCCCAGGTAGGGCGCTCGTCCCTGCCGTGTCCTCCAAGGCCACAGCGCCTGCGACTCATCCCTGCACCCACAGCCATGCATGCCCACTCTCAAGGTCCCCGATGCCCTAGGGCAGCCCCTTCAGGTGCCGCGGTGGGGGTGAGGGTGCCAGCCCAGCGTGGCTACTGCCCTACTCTCCTCATGGGGTGGAGGGGCACGTCCCCTCGTTCCCGAGCAGTCCTCAGCCCCTGCGAAGGCCTCCCCTTGATGTGGGCACCTTCTTCACGGTGTGGCCCTGCCCTAAGGGGACGGTTACGTCCCCTGCCAGGTTTTTCTCCCCAGAGCCTACAGGTGGGGGCCCACCTTTGCAGGGAGCAGGGATCCCTCTCTCTCTGTTGGGTTTTTATTTTATTATTTAAGATTTTATTTATTTATTTGACAGAGATCAGAGAGGCAGGCAGAGAGAGAGGAGGAAACAGGCTCCCTGCTGAGCAGAGAACCCAGGACCCTGGGATCATGCATGACCTGAGCCGAAGGCAGAGGCTTTAACCCACTGAGCCACCCAGGCGCCCCTCTTTTATTATTTTTTAAAGATTTTTATTCATCTCTGCACCCAACATGGCCTCGAGCCTGTGACCCTGACATCAGGAGTCCCTTGCTCCCTTGACTGAGCCGGTTGTCTGGTTGTCCGAGCCCTTCCACACAGGTCTTTTAGATGCTGATGCGGCTGAGAACCACACCCAGCCCGGCCCTGGGGGCTCTCAGCCTCCAGTCCCCTTCCAGCTGCCCCTGGCTAAACAAGCAGGGGTGTGGGGTGAGGGCGGGGCCCCACAGCAGGTTCCCCCAAAGCAAATACACAAGAGGACAGCCCCCCCTTTGCCTGGTGCCGAGTCCCCAGAGGCTTCACTCCTGTTCCCGCCAGGGAGACAGGAGACCCAGCTGCACTCGCTGACCCCTGGAGGGACAGGACCCGAAGGCTCTTGGAAGGGAAGGCGAACTCAGGGTCCCGCCAGCAGCCCGGGAGAGGGCCCGCTGGGCTCCGTCTGCTGTCTGTTCCCGACAGCCCTTCCCGGCTCCCGGCCAGAGCCCAAGATGGGGTGCAGGGCAGGGGGCCCCTGCTCAATGACATTATCCCCTCTCAGGATCATCAAATGGTTTGTCTTGAAGTTCAAGTATGTGTTCGGCCTTCGTTTCGAGATAAAGGGTCTCCAGAAGCTGGAGGTGGACCACCCCTGTGTCATCATTTCTAACCACCAGAGCATTCTGGACATGATGGGTAAGCCGCAGAGGGGCTGGTGGGAGAGCTGGCCCTTCCTGGCTGCAGGCACAGCCCAGGACACTGCTCTGGCCTCTGCGGGATGGGGGAAGGGGGACGGGGGGCTTCAGAGAGGTGGAGCCTGGGCCAGATGACTGGTGGGCAAGGGGGGTCAGCCCAGGCCAGGGGGACCTGTGCCTCCCTCCGGCTGCATGACAAAACTGTGTGTGCCTGAGGCTGGGGACGGGGCTCTGCTGCCTCACTCTGGCAGCTGGGAGCTCTGCCTCACCCTCCCTTTACAGGCGGGAAATGGGCCGAGAGTCCACATGGCTTGGCCGGGTAGCCCGTAGGAAGGCATGACCTGGCCCAGGCCTGCTGGTGGTCGAGGCCCAGGGCTGGCTCTCTCCTCCCCGGGGAGGTGGCCGCCCGGCTCTGAGCCCGACCCCACCTGCCTGGTGTCCCGTGGCCACCCGCAGGCCTGATGGAGGCCCTGCCTAAGCGCTGCGTGCAGATCGCCAAGCGGGAGCTGATCTTCTTGGGGCCCGTCGGTCTGATCATGTACCTCGGGGGCATCTTCTTCATCAACCGGCAGCACTCCAGGACCGCCGTGACCGTGATGGCCGACGTGGGCGAGCACATGGTCAGGGACAACGTGAGTGTGGGGCCGGGGGCTCGCTTGGCTGGGCGAACACCCCCGCCAGCGGCAGGTGCCGGACGGCACGGCTGCCCAAGGGCACCGGCGAGGTCGGGGGCTGAGCCCGCGCGCTGGCACGCTGGCACGCGGGCGCATGGGCAGGGGCGGCCTCAGCTGAGAGGCGGGGCTCCTTAGGAGGGGGCGGCCCAGGGCCGTGAGGGATAGTCCGGGACAGCAGCCGCCTCTCTCCCCCGCAGCTCAAAGTGTGGATCTACCCTGAGGGCACGCGGAATGACAACGGGGACCTGCTGCCCTTCAAGAAAGGCGCCTTCTACCTGGCGATCCAGACCCAGGTGCGCTGGGGCACTGCCCTCCTAGCGGGGCGGGGAAGTGGGTCCAGGTTGGCTTAAAGCCCAAGGTGAATGCCTGGCCGGGCTGGGGCCATTGGGGCTTGGGGACCACCTTCCACTGGGCAGGCGCCAGGCCTCCTCACCCCTCAAGCAGCTGGCTTCTGGCTTGCTGGGGGGGCGCCCGTCTCCCACTCTGAGTACCAAGGCTGGTGCCCATGGGGCCCGCACCCAGTTTCGGTACCCACCTTGGTCGCTGGCGGGCAGGGCCCCAGGGAGGCAGAGGCGGCAGGCCTACTTGTTGGGTTCTTCAGTAGGCCAAGCCCTTGCTGGGCCCTGCTGACTGTGGGCGGGGCCGATGAGCAGGGCCTGAGGCTGGGGGTGGGGTTGGGGGCCAGTGGCGCGGGCCCTGGACCACGGGCGACCTGGAACCCCGCACTGGGCTTCAGCTTTACTCGTCCTTGAGCTCCAGGGCGCGGTCTGCCCCAGGAGTGACCCCTGACAAGCTGGGGTACCTCCAGCCCCGGGGCAGCGTCTCCTGGTGGGGCAAAAGTGGTCTGGCCCAGTTGGTGTAGGGGATAGTGGTCGTCTGCAGTCAGGGTCGGGGCTTCCGTGCTGCCCTGGCTGGGCAGGGTCTGCTCCTGGCACCCCGCAACCCCTGCACAGTGACCTCCAGCATCCCCTGGTGTCTGGCCCTGAACAGCTAGCCCTCCTTGCAGAGGCTCCAGCTCAGACCCCCGGGGTGGGGGGAGAAGCAGCTGGTGAATGGGGTGGAGGGAGAAGCCCAGGCTTTGAGCTCTCAGCCCCGGGCCTGCGGCCCCTCCAGCTGGGAGGTGGAGGGCACCCCTGCCACACGCCTGGGGCTGATGTCCCTTCCCTTTGCTGTTGACATGGGAGAGAGGACCTCGGGGGAGAGGGAAGAGGACGCCGAGGGGGCCCTGGTGAGGCTGGGCTAGTGCAGCCTCGGCTGGGAGATGGGACACCATTCCCTGTCCTCTCCGCTCCCCTCCCCCCGTCTCCTCCCAGGGCTTCCTGGCCTGCAGCCTACCTGTGCTCCAAGCCTGCGCCCTGCTGGTATCAGGGAGAGGCTCCCTGACCTCCAGAGTTAACCATGACCCCCAGGGGCCATTTCTGACCGTGCTGTCTTCCAGCAATACCAGCAGAACCTGTCCCCTCCCCAGCAACAGCTGCCCCCAGTCTCCCTAGGACGACCTCAGTGACCTCCAGCTGAACTGTGCAGGGCCCTGCACCCTGGGGCAATCTTAGGACCCAGTGAGGGCACAGACGTGAATCGCAGGGACATGTGCCAGCCCAGGAAGGCTTCCTGGTGGAGAGGGTGCTTGAGTGCGGGAAGGGTTTACGGAATGCTGGGGGCAGGGCCTGCTGGTATTCCTGGAAGCACCCGGGTCAGAAAGAGCCCCCGGGGTAATCATTAACAGGGCATGGAAGGTGTCCCAGGCCAAGGGGTCAGTGCCTTGAAGGGCCCTGAGGCACGTCACCTTGCCTGTTTTGCAGCCACAGGGACTCCTGGGACCTCCTTAGGCAGAAGGCAGGCAGGTGGCAAGGCTCCCCCCACTAGCTCATCCTGGGGCTCAGGGGGGCTGGGGGTGGGCTCCCTCGTGTCCTCAGGCACCATGGCTTCCTGTCTACAGGTGCCTATTATCCCCGTGATATACTCCAGCTTCTCCTCCTTCTACAACCCCAAGACGAAGCTCTTCACCTCAGGTATCAGCCCCCCACCTGCGTGTGCCCCCCGACCTGCGTGCCCCCCCACCTGCGTGCCCATCCCCCACCTGCTCACAGCCTCGGGCATGGCTCATTCTCAGTCCTTGGGACAGACACCCAGGCCCTTGAGGGGGTAGTTCCATTTCAGGGAGGCTGCTGTAGGTCAGTGATCCCTTGGTGAGGAGAGGAAGGAGTCTGGAATCCCGAGGGGGTGGGTTCACACACACACACAAACACACACACACACACACACACACACACACACACACACACAGGCCCAGGCCGCAAAGCAGCCTCCCAGGTGTCCTGACTATTCCCGCCCCGATCCCGTGCCCACCAGCCATGGAGCTCGGGGCCTCCCGAATGTGGGTGTCTGGTGCCTGGGCAGGAGGGGTGGAAGGTTGATGGGCGGGGGCCGGGAGGAGCTGGGCTGCGTCTCCCTGCCCCCCGACATGGGAGACTCGGGGCCCGCCTAGACCAGGGTGGAGGATGGAAGTGGTGGGTGTGGAGCGGCCGGGAGGGGGTGGGGGCAACTTCAGGGGGAGAGGAATGTTCTGGACCTCGGTCAGGGCTCACGAGGGCACATGGTTGTGAGCACCTGCGGAGTGCGGGGTCCGGAGCTGCGGGTTTGCTTGTACTCGTGACTCGCACTTGAAAACCAGCTGCCTGAGCCCAGGGTGTCCGGGAAAGACCCCAGCCCTGCCTTGGGCCCTCGGGAGGCGCCCCAGGGAGGCCAATAGTTGGCCGAGGAGGAGGAAGAAGGGGGTTCAGCTGGCGCGGGAGCGAGGACCAGCTGCAGCATGGGCCCCAGGTCGCTGATGCTGCTCCGCTCCTGACAGGAACCATCAAGGTGGAAGTGCTGGATGCCATCCCCACCAGGGGCCTCACGGTGGCCGATGTCCCCAAGCTGATGGACACCTGCCACCGGGCCATGAGGACCACCTTCCTCCGTGTGTCCAAGACACCCCAGGAGAATGGGGCAACCGCAGGGCCTGGTTCCCAGCCAGCCCAGTAGCTGAGGCCTGGGCTGGGGCAGGACCTGGGGACAGGACAGGCTGGGCCAGGGGCAGGGCCTGGCTGGAGACGGGACAGAGGGACATCTTCCCTGCCCTGGTTGCTCAAGATCACTGTGTCCCCGAGGGTCCCCCCGCTTTCATCCAGGGATCTGGATGCAGGAGGCTGCCTCTTGTTGTTGGCCTCGGATCCAGGCCTTTGATGTCTCCCCAAAAGGAGAGCTGGCTGGAAGCTCCCCAGGAAGCCCACACTGGTGCCTCCTGGACGCGGGAGCAGGCCGGGGACCAGCTGGGTGGACAGGCAGGGCTGAGCTGCACGGCCTCGGGAGACACTGCACCCTCCTGCCTGAGCCTGCGGGGCGCAGAGGCAAGGCTGGGCGGCCCCCACAGCCCTCTGGGAGAAACAGGACTCTGCGGGGGGCGGCCGGACCCCCGGTCTCATGCAGCCTGGGTCTCAGGGAGAGCCACGGAGCAGAGATCCCTGCTCCACGGGCCTTGGGAGCAAGCTGCCCGGTGGGCACTGCACTCCGTCCAGGTTTTTTAATAAACGAACTCTTGGAAACACCTGGTAAGTTGTGGTCACTCAGGTGGCGGGCACGCTGGGGGTCTGGGGAAGGAGGAGACAGGTTTGTTCTTTGTCTGCCGGCAGAGGGGGAGGGGGGCCAGTGGAGTGAGATTGTCACTGAGAAGCCATTGTCATTTTCCCAGAAAGCACTGGCTGTAGCCCCTTTGGGAGAGGAGAACCAAGACCCCATGCCGCAGGAAGGCCCGGTGTGGCTGGAGCCCCTTCTGTGCCCCACGGCTGCCCCTTTGCCCTCCTGACAGCCAACGGCCGGCCCCCCATCAGAATGCCCTCCAGAACCCACCAAGGACACAGCAGCTCCTGAACCTTCATTTTATTTTGACACAGATGAGCAGTCCCCCAACATGCTGCCCAGCGAGTGAGACCCTCATGCCTCCCCACCCCCAGCCACGGGCCTGCTCGCTGCTGCTGGCCCGGCTGCGGCAGGATCACACCGAGGAGGACCCCTCCTCCCACCCCGCCTTGGCTCGAAACCCCCCTCCTGCCTGACCCAGCACAGTGGGCGAGGCTCTCAGTAGCCAGAGCCAAGGACGCGGGCCACCTGTCACAGCTCCTCCTTGCAGGAACCTGCGGACAGACGAAGGGCTGAGGTCAGGGGTCACCGTTCCCCACCGCCTTCCCCCACTCCAGGCAGATCCGCTCCCTCAGACTATGGCTGCCCTGCCCCAGTCTCTGGTCTCTGTGGGCACAGGCTGGGCGCAGGTCCCATGCTCCCGGGGAGCTCTGTGGGGAGGGGGTGGCACTCACAGGACCCCAGCTGCTCCTCCAGGAAGGAGATCTGCTCGCTCAGAGAGTCGATGCGGTCCAGCTGCTGGAAGGAGTGAGCCAGGAGGCTGCTGGGGTCTGGGAGCCCATGCTCCAGGGCCCTCGAGGCCAGGCTGTGCAGTGGGGCAAGCACGAGCTGCAGCTTCTGTGGGCCAAGCAGAAGAGACCCTCTGTCCCACAAGGTTTTTAGGGACCTCTGTGGCCAGTAAAGGCTCTGCAGGGCCCTGGATGTCCACCAGAGGGAGTGTCTGTGCCAGCAGAGCCAGGTGCATGGGCAGACGGACACCTTGGGAGCCCGCGGGGCAGTGGTCTCCAAAGCCTGGAGTCCTGGGTCAGAGGAGCTGGGGCGGGGGGGCGGGGGGGGCTGTGCTAGAGCTTCCAAGGGGTTATCAGGCCAACGGCCCCCTGGGCTGCAGGAACAAAGGTAGGGGTAGGAATTCTGTGCTGCTGGGGGTGGAGGCACGGCCAAGCCAAGCCCCTCCTCTTCTGGGGCCCCCAGGCCTGCTCGCCCTGCCTGGCCTGGGCTGTCAGTACCCAGGAGGCCTTCTTCCCGGGGCCACCCCCACGGAGCCCCACAACCCCTGAGGGCCTGAGCTGCACCACAGGAGACAGTGTGGGGCCAGGCCTCACCTGCTCCAGGATGTCCACCCGTGACCGGAGTCTCTGCACTTCCTCCTCGACGGCGCTGTCCTCGCCTGGGGAGAACCCAGCCCTGAGTCAGGCAGGCCCGGCTCCCAGGCCCACACCCCAGGCTGGCTTCTGGTCCCCATGCCGAGGCCTCTCGGCCTCGCAGAGTGTGGCGGCACAGCCCTGGAGAGGGGGCAGATGGGGCTCGAGCCCTTCCCCCATCCTAGGCAGCTGGGGCGGCCTGAAATCTGGGGGGCGGCCCTGCCCCGTCAGCACCCCAGGCAGCTGTGCCCTGCCCCTCTGCACCAGGGTCCCTGCCACGCTGAGCCGTCCAAGCCGAGGTCCACAGGGCGCTCCTGGTGCCGAGCTGCCGACAGCGCATTATTACTCACGGTACGAGTTTGAAGTGTCACAGCGCGTACCAAAAGTAATAATGTCCCGTCGCCAGCAGAGGTGTGGCGTCTCCTGGCTGCGGCGGCAGGATGTGGAGAAGACCCCGGGGCGCCGTCTTCTACTCTCTCGGCTGAGATGAGGCCCCCTCTCGGCAACCCTCCCCACAGTGCCCCCCAAGAATCACTCCCACCTCTGCCCTGGGGAACATCTCCACTTCTGCCCAGGTTGGGGAGATGGCCAGAAGCCCAGGGCAGATGGCCTCCCGCAGTCCCCAGTGTGGCCAGTGCCAATTGGCAGGATGAGGCCCACCCCCTCCCCCCGCCCTCCCTGACCCCTTCTAAGCAGAGCAGCAAGGATGGGGGACACCTGGGAAGTTTACCTGTTGTGGGGTTCGGGGCTACCCTGGGGGCCCCTGTCTTGGGCAGGCAGAGCGCACCATCTGCAGACCGGCCGTGCCCTTCCCGACACTGACACCAGTAACTGCCCACAGTGTTGACGCAGTACTGGGGACAGGTACCCTGTCCAGCCCTGCACTCATCCACATCTGCAGGAAAAGGGGCGTCCGCTAGGGAGTGGCACCCACACCGATCCCCCTCAACACGGACCCGTTCGTGGGCCACCCCCGAAGCCCGGCGAGGGCCCCGGAGGACCCTTCCCCTCCGGGAGGACGCAGGCAGCCTCACCTGTCTGGCAGGTGTCACCCTGCCATCCTGCAGGGCAGTGACAGCGGCCTGGCTGGACGCAGGTCCCTCCGTTCTGGCACGGTGGCCGGCATATTGCTGTCGAGGGGAGGGCCCGTCACAAATGGAGGGAGGTCCCCAGGGCGCCACAGGGGGGCAGCCAGGGAAGGGGGGCTATACAACAAGGAGGCAGTCTGCTCAGATGGAAGTAGCAGGTGCTCTGCCCAGGTCTGCGGGGCCCCAGGGACAGCCGTGCCCTTCTCACCTGCTCCGCAGGCCCTGGGGAGCCCGCTGGTCCTCTTCCAGCCCGGGCAGCAGGCGTAGCGGGGCCTGGGGGCAGCCGGCCCAGGGCTGCGGCGGTAGGCAGTCCTGTAGATGGTCCTGCGCGGTGGGTGGGGACAGCGAGTCAGTGGCAGCACCGGTGGTCTCCCAGGTTCTCCACCCCGCCTTTTCTCCCTGGGCACTGGGCCCATGGGTGCTGAGGATGCCCCCTACCAGCACAGCTCAAACCACAGCCTCAGAGTCCCGGACTCCCGGACCCTCCCCTGAGCAGGTGGGGAAGGGGGACCCTCACCAACGGGCCCCTCCTAGGCCAGCCCGCTCAGTGAAAGGGACAGGGAGCAGGGTCCCGCCCCTCGCTGGGCCCCACCCACACTGCCCCCACCTTCTTGGCCAGTGGAGGGGTGGGATGTCCCACAGGAAGGGCTTTGAGAACCCCACAGACCACAGACAGCAGAATCTCCTTAAGCCGCATTTCCACAGCTGAGTGCCGGAGGACACACCCCTTGTACAGGAGGTCAGCCAGGGGGTGACCGTCAGGAGCCATCACGGGGAGAGGGGTGCCCACCGGAGCTCGAGGCAGGATTTGGCGAGGCAGGCATCATGGCCAATGGATAAGAACTTGTAGCCAGCACCCCAGAAGCAGAGGGCAGCAGACAGGATGGTGAGCCCCCCAGAGACGAGGGTGGGGGAGCAGAAAAGGGGCTGACGTCTGAGGTTACTACGGCCACATCCTGAGACCAAGACTGCCCGAGTCAAAACAGGCATCAGCCTCCGCCATCACTGGGACGTGGGCCCAGGCTTCCCACCTGGGGTTGCATAGCCCTCCTGCGAGGGCCTGGGGGTGTTGATGTGTGGCGGGTGGGGGCACTGCGGGGGCAGGGCGCTCACCTGTAGGTGCTGCAGGCTCGGTGCCCGTCACAGGTGGTGAGGAAGGGCTGGTACACTCGCTGCACGAAGGACTCTGACTCAGGGCCCCTGGGAGCGCCGACGGCACACACCCTGCGGCTACGGAGATGAGGGCGCTGGCCAGTCAGTCCCACAGCTCCCAGCCCAGAGCCCAGAGCCTTCTAGCCCCGGAACCAAGGGAGCCAAGAATCTGGGGAAGGGGCTTCCCAGCGTGCCCACGGGAAGGACCCTCATCAAGAATGACAAGGAAGAGCCATGCCCCCCACCCCGGTACTGGGGGTTGTCCTGAGGGCTCCTGGCTGCCCGCCCTCAGCACCGCAGCACCCAGAGGCCCGGGCCCCCCCGCTCTGACTCACCCAGGCCGGAAGACGTGCTCAGTGCCACCCACCACCAGCACCAGGAACCACAGCAGCAGCAGCTCCCTGGGGCTGAACATGGCCCGCGCCTGCGGGTGGGATGGCTTTCTCCTCAGGGGGGCCTGGAGCACAAGGCATACCCCGTAAACCCCTCTGTAGATCCCTCCTGGAGCCCGTTCCCTGGCTCTGGGACACCTGCCCAGCTCAGCCGCTTTGCTGGGACTTCCCACTGCAGGAGAGCCCCCAGGGGCAGTGGCAGCGGCAGCTGCCCCCTCCTCCCACCCACCTCAGCGAGGCAGGCCAGCCCTCTCCCCAGCACAAAGGGCCGGGGACTATAGAAGGGCCCCGATGGCAGCAACAGAAGCCGGCCCTCTTTCCTGGGGCCAGAGGCGTCTCGGTCTGGGTGAACCTGACGGCAGCTGCAGCTCCAGCAGCATTCACTTAGGAAGGTGGGGGCCCAGGGGGGAGCACCTGGGCTGGATCTAGTGCCCTCGTGTCATGGCAGGGGAGTCCCCATCCCGGTCTGCAGACGGGGTGGGAGTGGGCAGAGCTGGTACCCAGGCCAGCTGGCTTGGTCCTTCTGGCTTTCAATGTCCTCACCTGCTGAATGGGGAGCCAGCCACGGGGGGGTGGACTGGGAGTCTAGGAGGGGTCAGTGTGAGGAGCCATATGGCCCTGCACAGAGTGGGGCAGAGCCTGCGTGGGAGGGGGCACTCCTGCCCTGGAGTCTGACCAGTCTGCTCCAGGGCTCCCAGGACAGTTGTGTGTGTGTGGGGGCGGGGACTGGAGCTGCCCTCCTCACAGGCCAGTGGAACCAAATGCCATCCTTCTCTTCTGGGGAGGGATGCCAGGGACCCGGGAGAGCATTCCTGGGAATGTGAGAAAGCCCAACCCTGAATTAATGGTCTGCAACGAGCCCAGGGGCCTGTGTGGTGGCGGGGAGGGGGTGGCTGTCCACATGTGCGGCAAGCACCCGGGTAGACGGGGCCCTCCAGACACCCCACCGAGGCCCCCAAGGGGCTGGGTTCTGGCCAGACGGGCAGCCCCTGGCCCTGCAGGGCATCCAGCAAGAAGGACATGGAAGATATCTGGACTTCTGTGTGGCAGGAGGTGGAATCAGGGTGGGGTCATCCCCTTCTCTGGGACTCAGTTTCCTCAAAGACACCACGAGGGTCTTAGAGACCCCTCCTCTACCTGACAGCTGGTCCCATACGGAGTGACCACCATGAGCCACTGCTGAGCACTCAGGCCTGCCAAGCTTGACCGCAAGGGGAGAGTGATGCCGTGACAGGTGACACGGTCTGCTGGGAGTGGAGCCCTCGCCCTGGCCCACGGCAGCCCATAGACCCAGGTGAGGCAGAAGGCAGCTGGAGGAGAGTCCTTCCCGCACCCCCTGTTCTCTGTGGGGGCCCAAGAAGGGAAGCCACGGTGTTGGGACTTAGTTTGGGGCAAGGTCATGTCCTGTGAGCCAGTGTGGGAAGAGGAACTCTGGGAGTGGACCCTGGGGGGAGCGCACTCTTGGGGGCATTCCTGGGGGTCTAGGCAAGAATTGAAAGGATGGGAACAAGTGGGCCCTGGGAGCTGGCCCTGGGAAAGCAGAGGTGACCGCAGGGCCCAGGGGCTGGGCAGGCGCACATGAGGGTCCCATGGAGGTTGTGCCTGCCTGCCCGAGGTAGGGGGAGACTCGCCTCCTGCAGATGTAACTGGACCCCCCATTCCCACCCCATCCCCGCCCCCACTCACTGACAGCCGCTTAGACGTCGCCCGGGCTTGTGACAGAGGAGACTCAATTCTCCAAGTCAGGCTTTCTCCTGGGCCCCGGAGGCCGCCGGCCAGCCTGCGCTGGGCCACAGTCTCATTTCCCTTTGCAGCCCATCTGGGGCGGGGGAGCCCGAGCGGGGGCGGCTGCGGCGTCTCAGGTGGATGAGCGGTCACATCCCGCCCTCCCCGAGGGTCAGCAGCAACCCAGCCCGCCCCCCTCCCGCCCACCTGCCCGCGCCGCGTCCCCCGCAGCGCCCACTGGGAGGGCTGGGGCCGCAGAGGGAGGGGCCAGCCTCGCCGCAGAGCGGCGCCCCGGGGGGCCCCCCTTCCGCCGGGAGGGCTGCCCTGGACGTTAGGACCCTGGGAGGGCGGAAAGGCGGGGTGACAGGCCATGGGGAAGCGTCCTCCCCGCCGCCGGCCCCAGCTCCCCTCCCCCTGCGCGGCAGACTGCGGGGTGGGGGTGAGGATGGAGAGAGGCGCGGGGTCTGGGGCCTGCGAGGCCCTGAGGCAGGCCCTGCGGGGACGCTCAGAGCCCGACGCGGGTGAGGGGCTGCGGCGTCCCCCGGCCTCTACCGCCCCCCACCCCGCGCGGCCCCGCTCGTCGCCTGCTACCGGCAGGGGGCGCCCTTCCCGGAGACCGCTGGGCCCATTCTCCCGACACGGCACACGGCCCGGCAGGGCTGGGGGTCGCGCCCCCGCGCCGCAGCCCCGGCGCCCCCGGCCCGCTCACCTCTCCGCTCCCCGCGGTCGCGCTGCGTCGCCCCCCGGCTCCGCGCGCGCCCGGGCCCCCAGCCTCCCCCGCCCCAGCGCGCGGCGAGAGAACCCCGCCCTCGGCGCCCCCCGCGCCCCTTGCACCCCCCGGCCGGGCGCCCGCTCCCTCCGCACTCACCGCCCGAGCCGGGCGCGCACGCGCCGCCGCCGCCGCCGCCGCCGCGCCGAGGGGCCCCGGCCCCGCCCGCCGCCCCGCCCCGACCCCGCCCCCCCGCCCGCCCCGGGTGGGCTCCGAGCCCCCGCGCCCGCCCCCATTGCGCAGATGGGGACACTGAGGCCCGCGGCGCACGGCGCCCCGCCGGCAGGGCAGTGAGTCAGCCCGAGCCCGGGACGCCCGACGCGCACCCGCCTGAGCGCGCCACCGCCCCTCCCGGGCCCGCGTCGACCCCGCAGCAGGACGCGCGGCCGCAGGGGACGCAGGACTGGGATGCGGTCAGGTGTCCGGGGCCGCGTGGGGAGCCCTCTCTGGTCGGGGGAGGGGGAGGCCCTCGAACTCCCAGGCTGGGCACCAAACCGTGCAGATGGCCATCGCAAGGGGGTGGCCAGCTCACTAGGCAGCAGGCACGGACTAAAGCTGACCGTGACTTTGCAGTCACCCATAGGGTGGGCAGAATGACCCCTGCGGCCCGGGCACCCGTATTTGCACGAGGTCACACGGAGAGCTGTGGCTTGGTGGAGCCTGGCCAGAGCCTAGGTGCGACCTCTCAACCAGCGTGTCAGGTTCGGGGCTCAGTGGGACTCCCACTGGGTTAGGGTTAGGGTCAAGACCACCCCCGGCGGCCCCCCTCCGCCCAGCCTCCTGGGCTCCATTTCTGCACGTGTCAGGTGGGCTAAAGCAGCCCTTCCCGGCAGCAGTGCCCACCAAGGGAGGGGGCCGGAACCAGGAGCAGGCACGCCCCACCTGCCGGGAATTATTTGGTCACATCGACACCACGACTCTCATGGCCCTCATCGCATGCCAGGCTCAGGGCCTGCTCCCCTCAGCCGCTTCTGCCCTTGAAGCAGGGCCTGGACCCCAGTCACCTAAGTGACCTAAGCATGTGTGTGTAGGATGTTCCCAGGCCCAGCTGGACCCCCTGCTCGTGCCCAGAGCATCTGAAGCCTGCTATGGGACTCACCTGGAGAAGGCGGCTCTGTCATTCCCCCCGGACAGCGGTGGCAGCTGCTCTTCCGGCAGGCAGGGGTCCTGGTACTTCCCTCCAGCCGGACTCTGCTGGTCAGAGCCATAGTGTGGGTTAGTGCCCAGCCTTGGTCACCCTGATGTCCAGGGGCTGGGATGGCGGCGACAGCCAGAGCTGAGTGGGTCTTTCCGAGTGTTGCCTGTGGCTCACACCCTCAGCCTCCAGGCAGAGCCAGACTTGCCTCGGGTCCCAGGAGATGGGGATGGACAGGCTCCTGGGCATGACTGCAAAGCCCAGAGCTTCCCCTTCTTGGGGAAGGGGAAGGCTTCTTGGAGAGCTAGTAGCTTGGGGTGTCAGGTTAGGGCCCACTTTGGTACATGGGAACTAAAGGACAGGAGGGGACCCCGATGGCTGGACAGAAGCCCCCAGGATGAGAGGGCCCTGGGAGCCCCTGGCAGATGGTCTGAGGGCAGCTGGGGTAGCTGCAGCTGCGACGCTTGTAATCATGACAGGCTCCTGCCGCTGAAGGACTTCAGGTCCCCTGGCCCCTGAACCTGAGCAGGGCAGCCCTCACTCAGACCCAGGCAGGGAAGAGTTAAGAGCCAGGCCTAGGAGAGACCTTCCCCACCCAGTCCCCTGCCCCCATCCTGTCCCTGACCCTGCTGGGCCCCTGGCCCTCACTCAGCTGCTAACCCTGGGCCGGGCCGAGGCCTCGTGTTCTGCTTCTTCATGTGAACTACGGGGCTTCCCCAGACAGACCGCAGCCATGGCCGTGGGACCACGGGAGCAGCGGAAGCCGGAGAAGCCTCCAGTGGGGCCGGGGGTCTTGGTTGGGGACTTGGGCACTCTGGCTGGAGGAGGGGAGAGGGAGAGCAGGGGCTCCCCTAGGGACCCAGGTGGACCGTCCCTGTGCCTGAGGACCTCACCCATGCCCCCGAGGCCAGCCCAGCAGGACGTGGTGGGCCACTGGTGTCCGCTCAGCGCACCCAAGGAGCCTGGCCATACATCTGGCTTTGGGCTTCCTCTGCGTGAGGCCAGAGCCCCCTCCACCTGCCCTCCCAGACCCACGTTGGGAGAGCTTGCCCACGCTTGGGGGATGGCCCTGGGACCCCCGGCTTTGAGAGGAGAGCCCAGCCGACCTTAGGAGCTTCTCCACGATGGCAGTTGGCCGGGAGGGCGTGTGGAGGGGAAGGCCACAGGCCGCGTCGGGCTTCTCCTCTCAGGGGTCACAGTGGCTGCTGGACCACCCAGGGCTCAGTGTCCCAGCCAGGCCGGCCAGAGTCGGTCTAGACCAGGCCACCCACAGCGGGTGCCCTTGGCCAAGGGGCCTGAGTGGCCCTTGGTGGGAGTGGTGGGCATGGCACCATCAGGGAGAAGAGCGAGATGGTGCCCGGAGGCCAGGGTGCGGAGCTGGCGGGCGGGCACCCAGCCGACAGGTGCCTTGGCCAATAGGTCGGTGGGAGCCAAGGGTGTGCTCACCCCGCTTGGCCCGCTCCCTGTCCCCGAGGCCACCCCTGCCATACCTGATACGGCCCGGGCCCGGGCTTGGCCACGGCCCCCATCGCTGCCCGCTCAGGCCAGAGGTGGATCCTCCCCT